TGTTTTTAAATATCTTGTGTTCTTTAAAGGCAGCAGTCCTGTTCGGTAAAAAGTGTGCATAAAAACTTGAATCAACAGATAGAGACTCTGACTTTGTTACTCTAAACACCACCACAGTAGGAAAGGAAAGTTCAAAGTTACAACTTTGCACTGCAGCCAAAATACACGAGCCCCATCTCACTGGACTGAGTCAGATTGAATCCCACTGTGATGATGGAGTTCAGGCTGCAAGAAAAGTTCATGTTGGGCTGACTCTGCAGTACCACCCTAGAATGCAATGTGCAGTATCTATTTTGTATTCCCGAGGGCTGGGAATTTATAGCAAACACTGCTTTTGGGAACAGTGTTAACAGCTGAAATACCGCAGCATAAAGTATCCTCTCAGTAACTCTTAGCTACTACCACAGTGCACATAGATAATAAAAATGGCATCTTGCTTCTTCATGTGAAGTAGCTTCTGAATTGTCAATTTAGGATATAGTAAATAACTGTAACTTAAATCTGATGGTCTACTGAGACAAGCACAAAGATATTTCGCTTAAAATTTGAAAGAAATCCAAAAAAGATAACTCAAGAAAAAAGGATATTATACTGAGATGTCAAAAAACCCTTACCTTGAAGTAGGAGAAAACGCATTTTCTTCTTAAAAAGCAAGTGGCCATAAAATAATATATAACAGTATAGATTATCCTAAATAGCAATATAAGTAGCTCAATAAAAACAAATAGAAGTGTTTTAATTGCTCCAAGTGTTTTTTGATTAAACTGCCACTCCTTCTATTTTGTTCCAATTTGTTTCTTTTCCTAAGGTCTTTTTTTCTGAAAGTATGAATTGCTAAAACAAAGCCTTGAAAATCATATTATTTGGCTCTGTTCTGAGCAAAAACACTGTTGAGCTCTGATTTATGTTGTATTCAGTAAGTGTAGCTTTATCAAAGCTACTGCTGTGAGCACTTCGGTATGCAACTTAACCTGACTACACCTTAATTTCTTCACCATGTTGAAGGAGGAAAGTTACACTTGACTGAATTTTGCATGTTATGTAAGGTATTTGTATAAAAGCATTTTGCATTCAAAAAGACCATTTCTGTAAGAATTTCTGGTAGGCCAACTATGTGTAAATACTGTCCATGGAGGGACAGTATTCCCTTCAAGGGGAAGAAGTGAGTTAAAGCATGTAATTACCAGCCTTCTTTCCCACTCTAAGTTCGTTGTTCCCTCTGTGAAATTTTCTTTTTTGGGATTGCCACAGCAACCTCCAAAACTGCAAGTGCAACTACCCCATCTTACCACGGGCAGAACTGTAGTAAGCACCATACCCAGTGTTCCAGAACAAGACCAGTTGTACCGTTGCATTTTCTGAAGACAACTTACAGTGCCAGAAACTGTCATTGCTGGGGTACTCAGCAGCACACAACTCAAAAAAAGACCATCTGCTGCAAAACTATTCCGAATTGATGTGCTCCAAGGCTCTGGCACATGACTGTGGCTCTCACGTGCTGCTTGCACGTGCGAGAACACAGTGGGCTGCTAAGGGCGAGGATGTGCGGGGGTACGTTCCCAGCTGTCATCCCCAGGGTTAGGGAGAGTCTCATCTGTGTCCTCTGCACGCTCTAAAGAGTTTGGGTGGTCATGGACTGTGCTGTCCCTTCCAGCAACCACTCCTTGGGTTAAGAAGGGTATCATCTCTTTTTCATTAAGCTTGGGTGGCCATGCACTCCTCACGCCCTCTTTCAGGGTGATGGAGCTCAGTTCTTCATTTTCCACACAACCCTTCCATGACCAGGTGACTCCCAGTTAGCCTATGACAGAGGCTACACACCACATGTAAGGTCAAAACACATCTCCCCTGTGGAGCTTGATTTTATTAAGAAACAGATTAATAACAGGACAATCAACTCCCAAGGCTTGGCTAAACCCACCTCCTCATCCCACTGCAGCACAGGCCCAGGCTCTCTTTGCCAGAACAGCCAAACTCTGAAATCGCTTCCTCCCCTTAATTACCTCCAGCTGCCTGTCCTCCCTGCAGGCCCCGAGCTGCTGGCAGGCGCTGCATGGGGTAGGGCAAGTCCCACTGCCACATCCAGGACACGGCCTCAGATTTATTTTACAACAAAATGGAACTGCAGCCTTCCTGGCTGCAAAGTCAAGCGGAAGAGTCACCCCCTGTGCAGTGCAGTGCTGAGAGTCCTCCAGCAATGCGGCAGCGGCCCTGGGCAGCGTGGACAGCGGGTCTCACTGCTGTTCACACGCTGCGCACTTCGCCCTCGACACTTAGTACCCAAAGTACCATGCCTGGGACAGAGGCACACCCCAAACCGGACTGACTTTCTTAAGAAACCACATCCTAGTAATTCTGCTAAACTTCACAAGGTTGTTCGGCTCTAGCTCTTGCTTTTTCAAGGGCGGATGAGATCTCAGCTACCTTCTTTCTCCGCTCATGCTAGGAAAATGGCACTCCATTTGCAGTGAATAAAAAGTGAGACATGCTAGCAGTGGAACTCCAGGTATTATGGGGCCGTATGAGCCCCTGCATCAAGGAGTGTAGGCCACAGGACTACTATGATCAGGCCTGCTATTTACAACTATCACCCGAGTGAAAAGGATGTGCCTTGCCACACCAAATACACAGAAAAGCTGGTTTACAGCTGTGTAACTGAAAAATGAAAACTACATTTAATATGCTATTGAGAAATGTAGATATTGCCATAGACTGCCAGAAACAATGTCACAGAATCACAGAGTGGTTAAGGTTGGGATCTTTGGGACCTCTAACCTCAATAACCTTGGAATTCCTTCGGTCACTGCAGTTAAAAACAACCTTTCTGAAAGTAGCTCTTTGGTGATGTTCTGTTTCCTACCAAACCACTGATGATGAACAAGAATGTTCAAGACAGAATTCCTAGCAACACACAAATGTAGTGGCAGAAAATGTTAATACCTCTGATTAAAATCTGCACACTAATATCACTTTTCATTTAAAGGAAAATGATAACACTTGTTTACTGAATTCTGATAATGCAACATGAGGAGTTGGCAGTAGATGGAATGTTTAATATTATGTGTAGATGATGAACTAAGTAAATAAACAAGCAGACAAATAGGAGTGTATGTTATAAGGTGTAACTGAAAGGTGTTTGTGATATGGATAAGTTTCAAAGAAAGATTTGGAATTTCCCAGCTATACCGAGAAATGCCTTCCCTTCCAGCAACACACTGAGCACATTTGCTAGTATAACAACACTTACAGGTTCCCTAAGTAAAGCCTAGCAACTGGATTTCAACTGTGCAGTTTATCTGTAGAAACCTTTTTCAAGGAGAAACACTAAAAATTGCATTGCTTACTCAACAAACCTGTATCTGGAAAATTTCTTATATGGATTAAACTTAAATGTAGTTTCATATGAAGTAAGTGCAATGTAAAGGAAGCATTTGGGCCTGGAAAACAAAACAAAACAAAACAAAACAAACAAACAAACAAAAACTAACATTCTCCTACATTTGATATCTGTAAATGTAGGTGTTCCAAGATGACAACTGTTGGGAAAAACACCTAATTCTCTGAAACAGTGAAGTCTTCTACTTCATTGAAAGTTGCCCATTGCATGTTTTTTTTAAATATTCTAAAAAAAAATCCTGAATGCTATTAGTAGAAAATTTATACATAAAACCAAACCATGAAACAGCAGAAAAACAAATGTGAAGATGACGAAACCATATACAAGAATATTATGCCTATAAAATAATTGTGAGGCTATGTGAATGTGTGGGATACGCATTTTCTGTGATAAAATGTATTGTATGATAGTATATGCACCAATTCCTCTTTTAAATGGTAAACTTAGAGGGATCACAGTCTTCTGTTCCCTGTTGTGTCAAACTGTGAATCAACCTCCCACAATACTTGAATCCCTTCAGTTAAACTTTGAACGACCTTGTACTTGGAAAATGTTTTAAAATCCTGTTTAGTCATTATAGTTGTTTAGCAGTTAATCCAAGTATATTGTTTTGTAAGTAAGCTTAGCCTCTTGTTGCTCATGTGTAATAGAGAACAAATGGTCAAGGGGACAATGATAAACGTATTAGGAAACAGATAAAAAGTAAAAAGATGGTTATTAAAAGGTGGAGATGTGGAAAATGTGAGGGCTACACATTAAGTGGTGACTGGAATACTTAAGGGAGAAAGAATGTAAAACCTCTCTAAGCAAAATTCAAAGCGGAAATGTAAACATGTTAGAAAAATGATAGTCATCATGATTAAATTAACCTGTATTAACTCACAAATACTCACAAAAGTGTAAGATTACAAAGATTTTATCTTTGTGATTTTTTTTCCTGTCATAGTGCTACACACATGGCAACTTTTATGGGATTTGTTCAAAAATCATGATGGAGGGGAAAAAAAGTTTGCTTTTTTACATGTAGTACACGCACACATCATGTGCGATACTCTTCATAGCAAGATAATCACATTGGTGAGAAACAGTTCAACTGGTGTTATTTCTAGATTTAAGAATGCATCTCAGATGCATGTTTTAATATTCTTCTTTGTGTATTTCAAATGAAATTTCAGTCTTTCAATGAACATGTTGCTTCCCCTGTAGGATGATCATGGGAGAAAATGGAAAACATACTGAGATTTACTTTGGCACCACAGCTATCGCTTTATTGCAAAAGCAGATATTTGCATGTCCAAATACTAAATCTAGCACATTTACACAGCAGAATTATACCTAAAATTTCATGTAATCTCTGTAGGAGGAGAAAAAAAAAATCTCACAGGGATTTTTTTTTTTTTTTTTGGTCACAGACTCTCAATTCTGCAAATAAGCAATAAGTTTCAATGTTCTTCCTGGGTAGCAGTCAGTTTGGGTCTTTGAGCATCCTGAAGGATCCGCTCGAGAACTTGGGCTCTTACTCATCTTGCAAATGTTGGCACCCAGCTCCAGAGGAAGTCCAGACGACTCTGTGCTACTAAATTGAAAACACGCTGGACACTCGATGCCCCTGGGCATGACACGCAGAAACATGTGCATGCTGCATCTACAACTCTTAACTCTACAAGTGCACAACGGCCCTGAGCGTCTCTGCAGCTCCAGGATGGCAGGAGCGTGCAGGATTTCCAGGCGTTCACACAGCGAAGAGCCCAAACCCAGCACACTAGCCAGGTTGAGGAAAACGAGGCTCACTGCTAGGCTGCGGGCGCGGAGAGCACGCTGCTCTTTTGCCTCTATTTCGCCGAGGGCGAAACCGACGCCAGCGGCCGCTAAAACGGCTCCCAAAGCCTCCCAACGGCTCCGCCGCCGCCACCTCCCCGCCCCTGCGCCCCGCGGCCCCTCC